AAACAACCGATCCGATTGATCCCTCAATTTCTCAAGAAATGGCAACCACTTTCCTGTAGTCCAGTGCATAGTAACTCCTCTCCCTGATAACTGGATTCAAAAAGTTCTCCAGGGTGATTACTCAGAAGCAAATTAACCATTTGCCTCGACTCAAGAAGACCCGTTTTCAATTGATTTGCATCTGCCTCAGACAAAAGAGGAGATTGGCTCTCTGCAAATGCTTCCAACAGCCTAACATCAACATCGAACCCCATAATAGAGTTGACGTTGAACCTTTTAACAGACTCCGCCAATAGAGCACCAACAATCATCTCCGATATATGAGCAAGAACTTCTTGCAAAACCCGCTTCAAAACCTGAACAGGCAAAACCTGCTGTGCAGTTGAAACCAAAGTTTCGAGGAAAATAATCACCTCGTTCGAATATTCATTCCCACCCTGTGGAGGTTCATCAGCCATCCAATTCACATTTTCAATCAATGTAAGGAAACCATCAACTTTTTGCTTCAACAAACCAGAAAGCATCTCTTCAGCTGCATCACGGGCTTTTATCAATGGAAACTGCCTCCTCCCTCTCTCAACTATCCTCAAAGGAATACCCGACAGCTGTGCAGCATGACGAAAGAAGAAATCACAAGCCCGCTCAAAAACTGCCATATTTGCTGCCATCTGCATAGCTTGGGTAACCCCACTTAACGAACCGTTAATAACTTTCAGCAAAGCCCCATCCAAGACCTCAATCAACAGCCTGTCCAAGTACTTTTTAACCACATCGTAAAACTCAAGCTGCCCACCGTATGACATGAAACTCACAGAATCCTCGATAAAGGACCGAACAATTCTACAGCAATCAGGAACTGTAGACGAAAAAGGAGCAACGTAAGGGAATGCGGGCATGATGTTCGAAGTTTGTATCTGAAACGAAAGAACATTCATCGAATATTCGTACTCCTTCTTCATATACATCTGCTCAAACTTATCAGCAGAAAGAGCCTCAGCGACCTGCTTACGGCAATCGGACAACAACAATTCGTGATACTTATCCCTATGCTTGCTCAAAACATCAAGCAAAGCGTCAATTGGATAACCAAATCTACGCAATGTGACACCAAGCAAACTCACATAATCCTTAATCAACAACAAATGATTCGCAGTTTGCATTCTTGAAAATTGGTCCTCCAAAACAGAACACATCTTGCTCACAGCAGTATCCCACAGATTCTCCACTTCAATCTTTGAAATTAACCCTCCACCAGTCCTCAAAACCCGATCCTCCACAATAAAAAACCCGGCAATTTGTGCGAAAAATGTCTGATGAGACTCGAGAAAAGGGGTCATTGAGGATACTTGGAAATCAGAAGTCAACTGCAACTTCCTATTCTCAAAATAATACTGCTTAAACCTGTCCTGAAGCCCTAGAGTCTGATGTATATGATAAGCCCTGTACAAAGGAGTCAAGTCAAACCCTGAAATTCCATTTCCATTACCGCTGTTACTTCCATCAACAACTCCGTCAATCTCATCGTCATCTTCTTCTTCTAAAGCATAAACACAATCCCTCAAGCTAAGACGGCTTTGCTCCTCGGCTTGGCGCTGCTTGATACGAAGCTCTTCTTCTCTCTGACGCGCAGCAGATGCTTGACCGATGGCTAGCTGACCTAGATTTCGGCTAACAGTACGGATCTCCACAAGCCAATCCCCAAACTCTTTACTAACCTTTCTCTCAATGTGAACCCTAATCGAGGGGATCTGCTTCTCCAACATTCTTTTAAGAGTAGAAGACGGCGTTTCGTGAAAATTAGATTCGATGGAGTCCAAGGATTTCAAGGCCATGTAAAAGTTGTTTTGGGAGAGATGGAAATTGGCACGAGCGCAGAGATCCATGATCTGAACGCAGGTGTTGAGGGAATGAATAGCGAGAGCGATGTTGGAACACTTAGTTTTGGCTTCAACGAAGGCGTCGAGGGAGGTGAGGAGTGGTACGGCGACGTTTTGAAGCTTGGAGTTGGAGTTGGAAAGAGAAGATTTGAGTGAATCGACATCGGATAAGAGGGATCGGAGATCATCTACGGCCATGATGAAGTCCTGGTAGTGAGCACGGCAGACATCTTCGATCTCCGATTCTTTCGATTTTGAGAAGTGTTTCAGGTGCTGGAGCAAGGTTTCCGGTTTCCCTGAGGCGAAAACTTTCCGAACGAAGGAGCCGAGATCTTCGCCGTTGCAGATTGCCGAGGAGAGGAGGAGCAGCTCTTGTTTTTCGGCACTGTCGCCGTTATCGGAAGCCGACGGAACAATTTTCCGACGGGACTTTGTTGAGTTCATTGAGATTTTCTAATTTGGTATTATTGTTCAGACAGTAACCGTTCACGACGGGCGGCGTTGAATGAGGAGGGGATTTAGAGAAAATGTTGTATTAGTTGAGACTTTATATATTATTTTGTGGAAGTGAACCACCGCGTTACATAATTACTCCATCTCTTTCACAATAACTGTCTTTTTTTTTTAAATTATTTTTATTCCATATTATTTGTCATTTTATATTTACAATATGGCATTAATTGTATAATTATCAATTTTACACTTATTAACTATCTCCAACACTCTCTCACATTAATTATTGGCAAGGGCATTTTAGTATAAGAACATATATTTTTCTAAAATTAAACAACATTTATTAAGATTTTTAATCCTTGTGCACAAGCTAAAAACGACAATTAAAAAGGAACGAATGAAGTATTCTTTTCTTTGTATAAATATTAAAACGCCACCGAAATTATGAACATAATAAGTGACATTTATTTACCAAAATGTTCTACCACCTGGGTACCCTATCGAGCTCGAGCTCGAGCCTTATAGAATTTCTATGGGAATTTCAATGCCAAACGGACATGGCTCATTACACTACCGTGCCGAATTAATTTGGCAGGGTAATGATAATCAATTTTATTAGGACATTATTATCTATCATACCAAAATATTAATAAATAAATTTTTTTTTTTTTTCAGAAATAATAATTTTGATGTGAAGTGATGGAGGTTCATGGGAAGCGTCTTATCAGATAATTTAAACAAAGGTGGGATAGTTGTGTATTCGTGTTTTAAAAACTTTTTACTTCAATTTTTTAACATTAGCACTTTGGTCAGAATTTTTGTATCAAACATTTACATGCAATTGTCAATGAAGACATATAATGGTTTAATATTATTAATGAATGTAGACATTTTGAAAATTCATTTGCTTCTAAGAGCAATTCAATTTTTGGTAATAGTTATTACCTATTGTAATGCATCCAAATTTCGATATGTCGAAATATTTGGTAGTGGATTGTTATTGAACTCCATAATTTAGAAAGTTTAATAATGCTAGTGGTAAACGGATTATGGTAGGGAAACCCTACCAAACCCATCGTTAAGTAACAAGACATGACCCCTGAGCGGAACCGACGGATGTGGTGTGGATCGCTTCAATTCGACGGTTCACGGGCCGATTTGAACGATCTTATTTATGTTATTGATTTCTGAATTTTGATAATTCAATTTATTTTTCTTTTTAAATTTAGTTGACCATTTACGCGTCGACCCGCTGATTCAAGCAAGGAACATATAATGTGGGTAATTGATGATCAACAATCAACATGTCTTGACGAAAATTAAAAAGATAGTCATTAACTAACTGCAGACCAAGCTACTGAGTCGGAATTGTTGACTTGATAGGTCGGAAAACCCCATATTTAACCGATTCGTATATACATGGTTGATCACATTTTTTGTTTGGGTTTCGATCCGAGTCCAATGGGTACCATATTCATGTCTAATATAAGATTGTATTAGTATTAATAGACAAATGCCTCCTGACATGAAAATTTTGGAGATTAAATTGTAAATTAACGGTCTAAATAAATTGTTCATTAATTTAGATCTAAAATCAACGTTCATGTTATGAATTCTTTGAAGTGGTGGATGCCCACCATTACACCACCATTACTCCCACTACCACCACCACAACTCCCACCATCATCTCCACCATTATTCATCATTAAAAGTATTGTAACTCTTGACCTTTGAGAGGTCTTTCTTGTACTATATATACAACACAATGTAAATGTATTTTATATACAAGAAGAAGAAGAGAAATACATATTTTATTCTCTCTATTTAGTCTCTTAGTTCTCTTTATTATGTTGTGTTCTTCTTCATTTTCTAACACGTTATCAGCACGAGTTTGCTCTATTTTCATTTCTAGCTAATATATTTCAACTATGGAGATTAGCGTTGATGATGATCCAAAAGTGGAGGATGCTTCAACCCATAATGATGAAAAGGGAGATGCTTCATTATATTTTATTGTTTTTTTTAGTTGAAGAACAATATTAACAATCTTATTTATGTTGTAGATAGAATTTTGCACAATTCATAATGTCAGACTTTGAGGTCTGTTTCGGACCTAATAAACTTCGAATTTGAGAAAGTGCAAAGCATAGAAGTTGTAAAAATTTCTGTTGTCTGTTCAGAACATACTGAATCGCTGAAATCGGATGTCGGACTTGAGAGATATGCTTAAAATACTCAGACCTGGCAGAACTGTCAATTCTGCGGATTTTTTTTTTCGACCCACAAAATATTGAGGTACCCAATTTTTTTTTTAATTATCAACACTCTGGTATGTTCTTTGGTTTATCCATACTAATTTTTTTTTTTTTTTTTGCAACTGAATAATAATTATATTATGTGCTAGTATTTCTATCTGTTTCTTTAGCATGAAACGTTAACTTGAAACTCATGAAAAGAATAATGAGTTAAATGCAAAAACCCCCCCTGTGTTAATCCTAAAGACCGAAAACCCTCCTGGGATAAAAAAAGTGACAAAAACCCCCCCGATAAGTGTTCAAACAAGCATACTCGACCCATTTTTATTTTATTCGTTGACCGATCGTGAAAAGACGAGTAAACCCTCGGATAAATCTGTCCAACCTCTAAAATTTTATGACCCAAATGAAGTTTTTAAAATTTTCAATTCAGTCCCTAATACTTTCAATTAAACCCTCTTCCCAAAACAAAAACACACAGACACACATTACACACACTGTGATTTTAATTCTCTGGGCACATCACCTCACCCCACCCCTCCCCACCAGTGCCGTCGCCGGCTCCATTCGTGGACTGAAACCCCTCTCTGGCAATTGCTTCTCAACCCCTACCAACAACGAATTTCCTCTCAAATCAAAATTTCTTACAAAATTATTCCAAGAAAAAAAAAAATTCAAAGTCATGATCCACAATTTCGACACCATTACACGTCGACCGACAACAATAAACCTTCTTCTCTCCTCAACAAAACAATTACTACATTCCAGATTTTTCAACCCATTTTCTCGGGGCCACCCATTTCTTCGATTTTCCCAAAAATGAAGTATATATGCATTCCAATTTTGCCATTGTCGTGGTTGTGGTACTAAATTTTTTTGAGGTTTCTAGCGAACCGGCGGCCTTGGCAGGAGGTGGTGGGGGTGGGGCATATTGGAGGAAGAAGATGATGAAGATCCGTGGGAGTGGGGCATTTTGGAGGAAGAAGATGATGAGGTGGTTTTTTATGCCATTTCTTTTTTCTTTTCTTTTTTAATTTGTTTAAATATAATTTATATTTTTTCATTTTATTTTTTTAAATTTAAATATTATTAAAAAAATCATGAGTAGTTTAATTGTTTAATGAGTGTTGATTCAGAAGGGCAATTTTGTCCTTTCACGCACAAAATATACAAAAATCGCACAAGTAATCGCACACACAGCGAGTGAATGACACGCACAGAGGTTAGGGGGGTGTATGGCTTTGACTATTGATTACAGGGGGTTTGTGCCATTTTTTTTATCCCAGGGGATTTTTTGGTCTTTAGGATTAACAGAGGGGAAGTTTTTGCATTTAACTCATAGAATAATAGTTGTTTATTCATTTATTTACGGTTGACTTGTGATGTGCATAAAATCAATGAAACAGTAAGCATAAATGTGATTATATTTTATTCATATGCATGGGTTGTTATTCTCCCTATTTGCTGAAACGTTACATTGAAACGTCTTAATTACATGATTAAGAATTTGAACCATTAATGTAATATTTATATCTATTGTTTATTATTTATTTGACACGTTAAAATGTTTTTGTTGAGCCTTTTGCATATGTTTAATTATCTCAATAATTTGAAGCATTCAATCGGCCACTCATAATATATGTTGACAAATAATAACTGAATATTAAGTATTATTCTGTTAGTGCATATGTTCAAATTCAGATGTGAAACTGAGATTACATGTGAATTTAAGATTTCATAATGCATTAGTTAATATATTTTTATGGGTTCTTAAGATATAGGTCCCTAGTAACAAAACTTATTAGAACTAAATGACAAATCTAATTAAATCTTTGCTTCACATCCTTTATAAATTTTATTCCAAAAATGCCCTTAACAAATAAAAATTGTAATATACATCAAATAATATTTTAACAGCATTTATCATTTTCATTTTTCCATCTAGCATTTTTTTATTATTTTTTTTACGTAGAACATATTTCTCTTTTTCTTTTTTCTACATATTTCTTTTCTTTCATGTCGTATTGTTTTCATTATTATAAAAATCTAATTATATCATTTTTACACTATTATAAAAAACATAAAAAATCTTTTTTTTTCCAACATAATATTGAAAATTATAAAAAAAATTGTTTTTTTCGTTTTTTTCGTTTTTTTATTCAATTTACATTTTTTTAATTTTATCTGTTGTCAAAATTGTAGTAGGCTATGAAACACTATGGTATACTATGATATACTATGGTTATGGTGTTGTACAGTGTACTATGATCTCCTATAGTTTACTTATCCAAACCCTAAAAGCAAAGTATACAAAGTATACTACAGTGTACTATAGTCTACTACGGTATACTACCAAACCCTAGCACCCAATCTCGCCAACCCTAGTCGTAAACACAACAGCCGTCAAACCCTAGAAGCCGACACCGCCGACCACCGGATTTTTTCGGAATCCTTCATTTTCGGATTTTTTGGAATTTCCGGATTTAAAAAAGAAAAAAATGAAAACAGAATACAGGGCAGCGGGGCTGGTGCTCGTCGAGAGAACGAGAGCGGCGTGGCTGGAGCTCGGTGGAGAGAACGAGGGCGGCGGGGCTGGTGCTCAGCGGAGAGAACGAGGGCGGCGGGGCTGGTGCTCGGCGGAGAGAACGAGGGCGGTGGGGCTGGTTTTCGGTGGAGAGAAAGAGGGCGGCGCTGCCGGTGCAAAAGGTGGAGAGAATGACGAGGGCAGCGTGCTCGACGGAGAGGAAGAGGGCGGCGCTGGTGCTGGCGGAGAGAATAGGAGGCGCGGGTGGTGGTTGACGGAGAATTGAGGGTGGTGTTGGTGGGAGAAAAGCAAAAGGCAGAGAGAAGATAGTGGGGAGCGGCGTGAGGACGGGTGAGAATGAGGGAGTAACTTCAATTAGGGTTAGAATTTACATTTTAATTGTTTAGAAAATAAAGTAATAAATAATAATATATTTGTCCACTTTACTTGTTACTGTGTGTGAATATATATATATATATATATATATATATATATATATATATATATATATATATATATATATATATATATATATATATATATATATATATATATATATATATATATATATCTATTCTTATCCATTCATATCCATATTTTTTCGAATATATAATAACTCAATTTTTCATACATAAAAATTGAAAAAATCCTTCCTTTATCGGAATTTTTTCGGATCGGATTCGGCGGAAATCGGAAATTTTGTTCCGATTTCCACCCCTAACCCCAATGCTTAAATGTTTATGCCAATCGTAGAGATTTTTTATTATTATATATTATGTTACTATTCACCACATATTGTATGTATATTATCTCTATATGCCATTATAATATCTACCAGAGAGAATGGTAATGATCCACATCAATTTAGTAATATACGTCATGAAAAATTGGATGGCATAAATGAAACACAAAAGGGATGCAACTCCCATGGTTTACTCTTGCCCCTTAATTTGATTTTTTTTGCTAAAAGAAAAAGATTACATTGTCAAGATCGACGATCTTGGTGTTTTATATACGGACTTGAAGTTCCTGATATGACGGCTTGAAGCCTAAATTAATTATGAAGCCTAAAGGTCTTGATTACACTCGAAGTCTAAGTGATAACCCTCAAAGTTAAAGATTTGGGTTAATGGATTTCATATTATAGTACTAATTTTTTTACGATTAAGTACTATTACGATTTTTATTGAGGTTTGAGGCCCAAATCGAGCACGTGCAATGAAGTGACTCGAAGAACTATTCACTTTGTGGTTCAATGATGCTATTTCCATAAGAAATTATCAAAGTTGGATCATTGATGTTGCGATCCATTTATGTGTCTTGGAAATACAATCAAGATATTTCATATTGAACATGTGTCTAGAAGACACCGAGCAACATATTATCATTTCATTTTCAAGAAACGAGTAAATAATTGGGGTATGTGTTTGAACACATAAGTATAAGTAACATAAAATAAAGTTACTTATGAAGATTTATCCGAGAAAATATTCTCTAAGTTTGTGACTTGAAATGCTACCGCAGTAGCAATATTTTGGATCTATATTATGATTATGAAGTGGCAACATAAAAACTCAAGTTGCACTCGTAGAAGCAAAATCAAGAAATTTGATTGCATATTGTAATATAGTACGAGTTGTGAGCTAATACAAAACTCGTTCAATTGTTGTTATTCTTTGAAAGTGAAAACAACAATATTAAAAAAAATTCAAAGAGATATGATGACCTGAAAAGCTATCTGAAGTTTTAAAAATTTGCAGTTTGGTCCCTAAATTTTCAAAATTTATAGTTTGGTCCCTGAATTTTCAAAGTTTTGAAATTTGACCATTTATGTTCAGAATCTGATAGATTCTCAAACGAAGTTATATTCAGACACATAACATGATATCACGTGGTTTGTTTATTATTTATGCTATGCAATATTTTGCACCCCTAATGGGAGATATTCCTATGGCATTACATTGTCAATTGCCATTTTAGTGAGACAATTTTCCCGTCTTTAAGGGGGAGATAAGAAGCTGGTTCTTGTATAACGGCGTGAATTATATGAAATGATCTTTGTTTCATTCACATTTGTGCATGGAAATATTTAAGCACAAAAGAAAAAAGAAATCATTTGCAACAATTTAAATGTGTAAAATGCTAGATGCATTTATCGACAAAATGACAACTTGAAATTATTACATATGTTGTAAATGAGTGCAAGAGAAAATGTTCAAAGAAGGACACATTGCACATTAGATGTTGCCATGAAAGGCTTATAAACGAATGTCCTCAAAGGACAAATTTCACATTGTGATTGCATCGTGAATCCCTAAATGGGTGAAAAATGATTATGGTACACAACTAACCAATCTTAATTTATAAATATAAGAGGGGGAGATATATATGTTGGTTCGAATGATTAACACCCTTATAAGTGGTGTAGATACAGTCCAATTAAAGTCTACTAGCGCTAGTAGCATCATACTCTCATCCTATTACTTATCTCATTCATGAAAGGATTCGTCTTAAAGACGATGTTGGGGGACGCCTCAACACCAATATCCATTACTATGATTTGAG